TTTTCTTTTATTTTCACATTGCACAAGAGCTATTTCATTAATCACTCCTGTTTTATTAGCATCATAGATAATAGACTGAATTTTTCTCTTTAGTTCTTTTTCATATTGGACCATGTAAACATTCTGGACCTGGGAATGTTTTTAAAAACAGTTTTAGTATATTTTTAAAATTTACTTTTCCCTCTAATATCAGGAAGTGATTTCACATTTCAATTATGCACACATACACTAAATATCAACTCCATATGGATATATTATTAGTAGTCTAAATTTAAGAATGTTGATACCCTTAAGGAACTCACAACCTGATGGAAGAGGAAAAGAGAGGAGGAAAAATGTACAATAATCCAGTAACTACAATATAAGGATAAGAGAGTCATTCCCTTGCTTTGCAATGAAGAAGGAACCCAATAATGGTTGAATTTATTCTCTCACCAGTGATACCAGATTATTCAAGGCACCAAGGGGGCAGGTACCTGCAACTCTCTCTTCACAGAACCAGTAACTCATACACAATGACAGAATAGCCAGCCACTAAGGGGTTTCACAGCAGATAATGTTATTTTACTTATAAGTCAAGTCTGTAGCATTTGAAAAGCACAAAAGCTAAAGCAGAGGCATTCCTATTCTGTCACTTTCTTTGGATTTCTTTTCGTGATGTAAAGAGTACGGTCATACTTACGCATATGACCCTCGCTGATTTAAGAGTCTTGGTTGTTTTCCAAGAGCTCACGTTGTGCTTGAGGCACTCACAAAACAGAAAGAGGTGATGGAGAGGCCAAATGCTTCAATTTCAAAATGACATTAATTGCTTGTATCAACATTTTGAGAGGGCCAGGGGATATTCTGAGAAAAGAGATACAGGGCAAATCCTGTTTTCATGAACATTTGAATGTTTCTATAGTAAGGAGATTTCTGTGTTCTAATATGACTCACTGGGTCACCAGGAAAATTATAAGGTTGCCTCATTTATCTTCTGGGTCTACCCTTCCCCTCTCCCCACTCCTCTGCCACACTCACTGATATGTATAGGCCCTCCCCAGACATTGTTCACATGGTCCCATTCACACTCCTCAACTTCATCATAAATTTCTCCTTTCTATAAAATCTTTTAAACAAACAAAAATCCCTAA